GGGATTTGCCACATTTCTGAAATTCGGTGCCACCCCTCACGCAGATCCGCGGGGTCAGGGTCCAAAAACACAAGGGATTTGCCACATTTCTGAAATTCGGTGCCACCCCTCACGCAGATCCGCGGGGTCAGGGTCCAAAAACACAGGGGATTTGCCACATTTCTGAAATTCGGCGCCACCCTTCACGCACATCCATCGCAAGGCGTGGCAACCCAAACTGCGAGAACTCCCTCGGCCCTTTAATCGCAAGGTGTGGTAACCAAGCCCGTAAATCATACACGTCTTACCAATCGCCAGGTGTAGTTTCGATACTGCTTCACGACAGCGCCAAGGCCTCATGACTTAGCTCTTCCATGGCCCATTCTCCGAGAGAGGGGGCCGGCGGCAGGGGGCGAAGCCCTTACGGATCAGAAGGAAGGACGACCGTTATCACCAATGAGCGATGATCAAGATCAAGCTGGACCAGTATTACCAATTCAGGGAGGATCAAGTTCATCATCGGGCGGACCGACATTCGGTACCTTCAGCAGTGCAGTTCCCAACCAGATCGATCTCAAGAGGGCAGACTATTCACCTGCGGCGGAAGGACAAGAAACCTCTCCAGCGATCACGGCAGAGTCCAAGAGACCAAACCTATTGGAGAAAATGAACGCCTTCATGAACCAGCAGATCACTTTCGAGGACTTCCGGGGCTACTACCTGAACTCCCCGAACATGAAGGACGACGACATCGACGAGTACCAGAACCTAATGGCGAGCATGGCAGGAGAGATTTCGGAGAACTTGCACAAGATGGACCAGCAGGAGCTTCCCTGGAATAAGGACACGGCGCATTTGGTTATTCCTGGACCTTTCAAGGAAAGGAGATGTTCTTACTTCGATCTTCACACTGGAGAATCCATATTTGCACAGAGCGATGACGTACTTACCGAGGAAGATATCTAGAAGTATTGGGACCTAGTGGATAAAGCAGATCAACAAGAAGCTCGATCTTTCATCGACAACAATTGCTTTCATGCAAAACACGGCAACGACCTCGACAGCAGCAGCATCATCGACGCAGTATGGGTTAGAAGATAGAAGAAGATGTATGGTGAACACAACGAGATGTACTACATTATCAAATCTCGTTTATGTGGTAGAGGCTTCCTGAATTCTCAGAAACACGACGTTATGCGACACAGTTCGACAGTTTCGAGATTATCGCAGAGAATGGTAGCCTCATTGCACAGCATTGAGAAGGACATGGAGATAGAGACCTGGGATATTTCTACGGCGTTTCTGCAGGGGCTGAACTACAAGGACCTCAAGAAGTACGCGGACCAACTTGGCATCGAGATCAGACAGGAGAGAAAGGTATACATGAAGCCTCCTTAGAACGTGTGGCGACACTTCAGGAACTACGGGAAGTCCAACATCCACATTAGCGGCAGCAAGAGCCAGTTCTTTTACCTGATATTGTTGAAACCTATCTACGGCACCGTGGACGCACCATTGCTATGGCAGTTGGCCCTGACGGTGTTCATCAAGAAGGAGCTCAAGGGCATGCAGAGCGTCTTCGACGACAACTTTTCATGTGGGTCGAGAACGGCGTTATCAAGATTATATGGACGGTACATGTGGACGATATCATTGTTTTGGCTTTGAAGGCATGGATGAGATGGGCACAAGAGAAAACAGAAAAGAGATTTGGTAAGATCAAGCGACACTGTCTTCCATTCACACATATGGGCATGACTTATGAACTACTTCGAGGACGACATCAACTCCTTCATCAAGATAAGTTCGTGGACGGATTGAACAAGGTCGAGATCGCCAAGACGAGACAGAGTAAACCGAAGGAAACACTCACGTCGGCGGAAGTTCATCAGCTACGGAACGGTATTTGTTCACTGTTATGGCTTTGTCAGACGAGAGAGGATATCTACTGCGACACAGTTCAACTTCAACAGTATGTACGAGATGCTAGAGTGGAACACATCATCCAGTTGAACGTGATCATTGGACGAGCGATGAGGAACAGACGATGGGCTGGATTGCATCTTCCCGAGCTGGAACCTCCTCTCAGATTGGCGAGTGTGGCAGGCGCTTCTCACGGCAATACTATGACGAGTTATCCTCAGGAAGGCAGCGCAGTATTTCTCATGGAAGACAAGATGCACAAAGTAAAGTTCGACAAGCAGGACAGAGCGACTTCAAGTGACGAGTATCTTTTCGGCGGACCTTGTCATAAAATGGTTATGCAGTCTGGTAGATCATAGAGAATTTCACATAGTACGTGTCATGCGGAGACAAATGCGGGATACAAGGTCAACCAGTACGCGCAGTTTATTTCTATGATATTCACGGAACTACTACGAGCAACAAATCTACAGCACAAGCCGCGTGATATTCTGGAGCATGTCGACACAGGCCAAATGGAGTTGGCGACTGATCATTACACGGACGGTTTGGATTTTTGGCAGTTATGTTGCGGAGTCAAAGGAGTACCAGACGACAATGAAACTAGACTTTCGATATTATCAATTCGTGAAGATAGGTTGACGCGACGCATCAGATGGTTTATGCATTGTCCTACACACAATATGATATGTGACGCTTTAACACAATCTGGAACATTTCCACATATTATGAGACTGGTCAATACTGGAGTATGGCATATGAACACTATTGCGACGAAACCGTTTACGGCCAGGAGAATACGAGAGCGACGATATCATTATGATGAAGGAGATCTATTACGGCTTGAGGCCTGACCGGCCCTCCTGTTCGGCCCAGCGGCCGGCCTTGCATGTGAGCACGCGCGGCGCAGTTGTACGGAACACGTTCGTGAACGCACGGCGCGAGAGGTGACGAGTGTGCACGATTAGGTGTGGAAGTGCAGGTCGCGCGCAAGTAATTTTTTGATGACATTAGGTAGCTCGGACTTTTAGAGCACGCCTGAATTAATTTACGTGTCGTGTGGTAGTAAAATTAATTCGGAAACACAAACCGGAACGAAGATTCTGGGTGTGACTAGCCCCGACTAGCGCCTGGCTTCAGGACGGAGAAATATGTGCGTGTGTACTGTATGCGCACCACGGCTCAAGGAATAAAGGATCTCTGCTCCCTCCCTCCCTTCCTCCCTCCCTCCCTCCTTCGCTCCCTCCCTCCCTCCCTCCCTCCCTCCCCCCCCCCCCTCCCTCCCTCCCTCCCTCCTCCTCCTCCCTCCTCCTCCTCCTCTCCTCTCCTCCTCCTCCTCCTCCTCATCGTCATCGTCATCATCATCATCATCATCATCATCATCATCATCATCATCATCATCAACATCATCATCATCATCATCATCATCATCATCATCATCATCATCATCATCATCATCATCACCATCATCCTCCTCTCCTCCTCCTCCTCCTCCTCCTCCTCCCTCCTCCTCCTCCTCCTCCTCGTCCTCCGCCTTCTCCTCCTCCTCCTCCTCCCCCTCCTCCTCCTCCTCCTCCTCCTCCCCCTCCGCCTCCTCCTCCTCCTCTTCCTCCTCCTCCTCCTCCTCCACCTCCTCCTCCTCCTCCTTGTCCTCCTCCTCAACCCCAAGTGGCCGCTACCCCTGATGCAGGATCCTCTGGCCCCTGCCTCGCCCCGGCAACTTCCGCGGGTTCACCCCTTCGCCTGGGGGTCGGAGGAATGGCGTGAACCTCATGGGCACCAGTGGGACACAATTGAAAACTTATATGGACACCACTGGGACACCGCTAGACCCGCTTGGACACTGGCGGGGCAGCCCGCCAGCCGCCCGCCAAGAGCAGCAGGAGCGCAGGGGCGCGCGGGCGAGCGAGCCGTCTGACGTCAAGTTCCTGCTGGGAGCGGCCCCCTGCTGGCAGTCAAGATGAACTGCCTGGGCAGGCCCTGGGTGGCGAAACGTGAGGTGCGTAGGACACGGATGTCGAAGAATCGTCCACGCCTGTATCGCCGCGAAATCGACCGCCCACGAGGTGGGGCCCCAGGCAGCAGAGGGGGAGGACTTTCCCGCCGGCCACCCTGGCGACCTGGGAAATCCGCGCACAAAGCTGTACGATTTCCCAGCGGGACACCTTCACATAATATTTCACGCCCCCAACCTCCAACCCTGCAAACCCTTGCAAAGTCGAGAGCTCGACAACGGCCATGGAGACCCCTGCAATGACTTACGGGAGCCTTGAATCCAACTCGCCTCAAAATCACTTCATGGAAACATTCACGTCCCAAACATCATATTCTGCAACTCCTTGAAGTAACGGCCATGCAAGCCCCTGCAATGACTTAGCAAACCCTTGAACCCAACTCGCCTCGCAACTGGTTCTGTCTGATGGGAGTACTGTGTCTCGCGAGCGCAAGCGGAAGAGCCGCGCGCCGTCAGGAAGATGAGAAGTCTGATGGGGATGCTTTTTTGGTCGCGGGCACAAGCGAGAGCGCAGGCGCCGTCCAAGTAAGTCCGGGTTGCGGTACCTACTAATTTACAGCGAAAGCACGCGGCTGGCGCGGGCAACCGGCCGAGGGCCGAACTGACTACCTACCATGGCTGCTCAGGCTGCGGCTGCACAGGACCTAGCACAGTCCGGGGCGCGGGCCTACTAATTGACAACAGCAAACTAGAGCCAACAACCTAAACCGCCTAAGCGAGCTAAGCGGCGCCTCGCGTGAGCTGCAGCGGCGCTGAGAGTGGAGGCCGGGGCCGGGAGCCGAGAGCGCCCACACAGCGCCCTTGCAAGGATAGCAGGGCTGCCAGGGAGCTGCACTGCCAGGGGTGCACACAAGCAAAACACTGCAAGCACGGACTGCCAGGGCGGCTGGCTGCCAGGGTCTGCCAGTTGCGATGTGAAATGTAGATAAAGTGCGCGTGGATTGGGCAGCGGATCTGATGGGGATACGCAAAGCGTCCAGGATTGGGCTGCCATGGCGTCGCGCAGCCCCTACCGCGTTTGAACGAATACGCTGGGATCGCGTCCTGCACCCCTCCTCCTTCCCCTCCCGACTCGCCCTCTGGCCTGGGTGCCGTAGTCGCCAGGCGCCAACTCGTTGATCCAACTCTTAGTCTGCTTCATCAGACCCTTGAGCGTCAACGTCGGCTCTATCCGCGGCTCAGTGGGGAACTTGAACGCCGGGGACGAGCTGCACGTCGTGAGCTTGCCTTTCGCCACTTCCGACCTCTTTTTGAGACAACAGCCCTTGACCGCCCGAATTCGCGGTCCGTGTTGCGCAGGGCGCGACGCGCGGCTAATTATCCTTGCACTCTCGCGCCACCGTCCTGGAGAAAGGCGGATTTCCGGCCATGGCCGCTGGGCGCAAAAGCCCGGTTGCCCTCGCGCTGATCCACCCACCAGGACATCCACGGAGGCGACGATGAGGGCGGCGACGATGACGACGAGGCCGACGACGACGACGATGACGACGAGGTCGTCGACGACGACGACCACGACGACGACGACGAAGACAAATGCGACGACGGCGGCGACGATGATGACGAGGTGGGCGACATCGACAACGACGACTACGAGAGTGACAACGGCGCCGACGACCTAACGGGCGGGTCTGGCGTGCGGACCCCAGACGGACGGGTCGGGCGGGCGGACGGTGAGGCAGCGGACCCTGACGGGGGAGTCGGGCGGGCAGGTCGGGTCGGCGGGACATGAAAGTAGTGTGCGAGCCACCCAGTAGGACACCCAGGAAGGCGACGACGAGGGCGGCGAACACGACGTCCACAACGGCGACGACGTGGACGACGATGACGACGAAGGCGGCGACGACGGCGACGATGACTACGAGGAGGGCGAGGACGATAACGACGATGACGACGACGAGTCAACGACGGCACCCACGACCGAACGGCCAGTCGGGCGAACCCGAACGGGCGGGTCGGTCGGGCAAGCTGACCCTGACGGGCTGGTCGGGCGGTCGGACCCAAACGGGCGGCGAGCAGACCCTGTGTGACGGGTTGGGTGGGGCGCCCTAGCGGGTCGGGCATGCCGACCCTAAGTTGCGGGCGAGTCGAGCCGGGGCGACGACGACGAGGACCTCGTTGACGACGACCATGTTGCGGAAGGCCCAATGCAAAGCTAGCATTAAGAGCCGACCATATGGCGAAAAACCCAAGATGAGGCCCTGCGTTGGGAGCTCACCATGTTGCGGAAAGCCCAGTGCGGAACCTGCGTTGGGAGCCGACCATGTTGCGGAAAGCCTGGTACAGAACCTATGTTGGGAGCCGACCGTGTTTCGGAAGGCCCGGAACGGAGCATCACGTTGGGGAAGACCATGTTGCGAAGGCCCGGAACGGAGCCTCACGTTGGAAACCGACCGTTGCGGAAGGCCTGGTACGGAGCCTGCGGAGACGACCATGTTGCGGAAGGCCCGGTACGGAGTCTACGTTGGGAACTCACCGTGCTGAGGAAAACATGGTACGGAGCCGCGGAAGGCCCGGCACGGAATCTGCTTTGGGGGCCGCCCATGTTATGGAAAGCGCGTGGAGCTCGGGAAGGTACTGGTCTCGGCCGCCCCGCTCATAGCCTTGCGCCCATGATAGGCCGCAAAATCGCTGAACCTGCCTTGGAGGGAGGCGTGAAGCTCTCGCAAGGTCGAACACCCCGCCCTGACCGCCAGGATCACGAAAACCCCTCTGTGCTCAGCACTTGGCCATTGAGAGAAGGCCCACCTGGATCGCCCGAAGCCCAGCCTCCCACTCGCCCTGGCATGAGAAGTCGCTTATAACATGGCCCTCCAAGACGCAGAGCCACGTCGCAAGGCAGGCCTGCAGAACGAAGGATGGAGGGAGAAGCGAGGAGGAGCGAGGAGGGATAGGAGGAGAAAGCAAGGAGGAGGAGGACAAGGAGGGGGGAGGAGCAGGTGGGGGAGGAGGAGGAGGAGGCGGAGGCGGAGGAGGAGGAGAAAGAGAGGAGAAGGACGAACATGAGGAGGAGTAGGAGGAGAAAGAGAGGAGAAGGAGGAACATAAGGAGGAGGAGAAGGAGGAGGAGGAGGAGGAGGAGCAGGAGGCGGAGCAGGAGGAGGAGGAGCAGGAATTGTTTTTTGCCTGCGCAGCAACAACCAACCCCATATCCGCCCTCGGCGTTGGGCGAGGCCACGGAGGGCTTACAATCAAATCACTTCGACGACACTGCGCCCGTGAGAGAACGCAGCGGATGAGAAGCCTCAGGAAGGCAAAACCAGATCCAAGTGGTCCCCAAGAGACCCAAACATTGTCCCAAGAGGCGTCCAAACAGCCCCCTAGGAGGCGTCAGATCCCAACGACCATCCAATAGGATGCATACCCACAACCCAGGCACGGTGGCGGGATGGGCCGAAGGCTATTCGATAATTTTGAAGACACTGCGCCTGTGAGAGAACATAGCGGATGCGAAGCGCCAAAGGCAAAACTAGTCGACTACTGCCAGAACGCCAACAGCACATCCGACAGGAGGCACCCCTGGCGCAACAGAAGCTAGGGCTCGCAGGGCAGCATCATGAACAAATCCGTCGGAGCCGGATGCGGAGCCACCCCCGAAGCCCGAAGCCTGACCCGAGCTCACAGCGCTTCCGAGAGACGCAGTGTCTTCGACACTAGACGGAGCTCACGGGCCTCGTGCACTTGCGCCGCCGAGGAGGGGAGACTCAAGGGAGGAGGGACTGGGTGCCTCCTCCTCCTCCTCCTCCTCCTCCTCCCCTTCCTCCCCCTCCTCCTCCTCGTGATCACACCTAGATCCGACGCTTGCTGCAACGCCCGGACGCTTGGCATGGACGCTCGGAGAGGTCAACTTCTACGAGTGCTTCCGACCCTGGGCACCAGAACGCGGCAGCGGCACACATTCTGGGCGGACACCTCTCACCTGCCCGTATCAAGAATACAACATACAGCGGCTGCTGCTAAAAAACAGCACTTGAACCGCTGGCATCGAGGAACAACAGATCGTGCTCAAACGCTGCGAGACCAAGAACGGCATATCCGCAGGTCCCGACGCCAGCACCTCCACGGCAAGCCCCGCGGGGGGCCTGTCGGCCGAGCGAGGCCAACGGGAGCAAGCCAGGCACTGCCAAAACTGACCCGTAAGAGGAGGAGGAGGAGGAGGAGGAGGAGGAGGAGGACGAGGGAAGGAGGAGGGGGAGGAGGAGGAGGAGGAGGAGGAGGAGGAGGAGGAGGAGGAGGGGGAGGAGGGGGAGGAGGAACAGGAGCAAGAGGAGATGAGGAGAAGGGCCCAGGCGCGGAGTCCAGGACCCAATCGAGGGTCAAGAAGAGACAATACGGAGGGAGGGCGGAGGAGGAGGAGGAGGAGGTTGGAGCGTCTGGGGTGGAGGAGGAGGAGGAGGAGGACATCACCCGGGTGACTCCAACCTAAGACCCATGGAGGCCCAACCGGAAAGAAAAAAAAAATGGGGCGCGCCGAAGAACCCAGGGGGTCCGGTTTCCGCGGAGGAAAGAAAAAAACCCTGGCGATGGGGTTCGAGCACGGGGGTTACCCCCCCCTCAAATTCCGGAAGAGGAATGAACTCCCAGCCGCGGGGGTGCCCGCGCGAGGGGTCCCACCCCCCCAGGCGCAACCAGAGGAAGAAAAGCGTGAGAGCCGAGACTGTAAGTGCAATGCAACAACACCTTAATCGCGGTTGCACTAGGGATTTGTATTAGTACGGGAACAACTGAATTACAGCCGGTGAGGAACGTGCTCTCTAGGAACAACTGCGCGATAGGACATGATAGTACCAATTGTACTCAAGTACGAGTTGTACGGTAGTCGGAGGGGTTCAGGGGTTCCAACGGCAACGCGCGCGGGGAAGAAGGAAAGAAATCCATGCGCCGCCAGGGGTCCCGGGTTTAACGGGTCGCCGCGAAGGTTGACCCCCCGCGGAAAGAAGAAAAGAAATCCGGCCGGGGGGTTGGGGGGTTGAGGGATGAGTCACGGGGGCGATAGGAGGACGAGGAAGACGCTACACTCTGAGGATCGAAATCCGCGCGACGTCAAAGGAGGACGAGGAGGAGGCGGAGAGATGAGGAGAAGAGAAAGAGGAGGAGGGGAAGGAGGAGGAGGAGGAGGAGGGGAAGGAAGATGATGATGAGGAGGAGGAGGTGGAGGAGGAGGAGAGATGGAGAGATGAGGAGAGGGAGGCAGGAGGAGAAGGAGACCTCTCGTAGAGGACGAAATCCCGGTCCAGCCTGTAGTGGCCAGGGCCGAGGTGGGCGGCCGCGGTCGGCAGCCCGCTGGACTTGATCGCGGTTCTCGAGATCGTGGGGGTGGGGGCGCGGACGTGGTTGCCCACCCTGTCGAGGTACCTGCCCCTCCTCCAGCTCCTGCTCCTGCTACTGCTGCAGCCGTCTTCATTACTCCTCTTCCTCTTCACTCCTCTTCACTCCGGCTCCCTCCTCCTCCTCCTCCTCCTCCTCCTCCTCTTCCTCCTCCTCCCCCTCCTCCTCCCCCTCTTCATCCTTCGTCTCCTCCCTTATTGTCGTCGTCGTGGCCCTCCTCCTCCTCCTCCTCCTCCTCCTCCTCGTCTCAGGGCCCAAGCAACCTTAGAAGATCTCTGCTCCTGGAGGTCCCCAGGGGCCATGGATCCCATCCCTTGAATGGACTTTCTGACTCGAGACGCTGTCGCCTTGTCGAGGCGGCGCGGATCTGCCGCACGGCAGGGCCGCGCCACGAGAACGGGTGCGCTGTAAGACGAAGCCAGGACGAGGGTCAAGTCGGGTACGGCAGGTTCGCGTCGTGTCGACCCTGGCATTGGCTCCTGACACGGCAAAGATCGTTCAAACTTGAACGATCGGCCGTTCCGTGAACGTTGGATCGTTCAACGACGGGCCGATTCTAGGCCACGGGCGGCAATCAACCTTAAACGCACGCGCTGGGGTCGCCGCTGGTCGGCACGACGCGAACCTGCCGTAAGGATGAATCGAGAATCTCTGAGATCTGGCGGATCTGGAGGATGTACCAGGCGCCGCGGCCTTCTCGGAGCGCTCCGGAACGCTCCAAGAGCGTTCGGGAACACTCTGGAACGGATCTATCCTCGTCCCAGCCCCGTCCTACGTTGGCTTCTGACACCGCGCAGATCGTTCGAATCTGCACAGAAGGTTCCGCACTTCGCGCTACGCGCTCCGCGAAGCGCGAGCAGCTTCGCGCTCTCGCGTCGCTCCCCAGTGGAGGAGGAGATGAGGATGAGGAGGCGGAGCCGAACCGCGAAGCGCGAAATGCGAATAACTTCGCGCCCTCGAGGGCGCCCACGAGGAGGAGGAGGAGGAGGAGGAGGAGGAGGAGGAAGAGGAGGAAAAGGAGAAGAAGAGGAGAAAGATGAGGAGGAGGAGGAGGAGGAGAAGGAGGAGGAGGAGATGGAGGAGGAAGAGGAGGAGGAGGTGGAGGAGGAGGAGGGCGCCCTTGCTGCACCCTCGAGGCTTTCCGGCAGCGCGGGCCCCTCGACAGGGGCCGCCTCCGGGCCGCCGGCGATGCTTTTCCCTCGAACGCTCGCTTGCCGGAGTCGCTGCAGCATCGCGGCGCGGCGCTGGCCTGCCGTACACAGTAGGAGCTCGATCACAAGAAACCTTCCGCAAGAAACCCAACCCTGAGACCCCAGGATGTCTATAGATGTTTTGTATGGGGACGTCACGTTCTCCATCGTAGGACCATTGCAACCCAAGAAACCCAGGGCATCCTGGAGGCAAGCATTGTGTTTCTCGGCACGGGTCTCCACTCTACGATGCGTTCCTGCCGCGGCAACGGGGGTCCTGAGGTTTCTCCAGCGGCGAGCCCAGGGGGAATCGAGAAGGAGCGGTCCCTCTCAGAGGGCTCGGAAGTTCCCTGGCCGTCTGAGAAGTTTTCTGAGCCTTCCCCGAAGCCGCAGAAGACACTTTTCAGAAGGCGCGAGGGCTTCTGAGAAGCCCCGCCGCCTTCCGAGAAGGCCTTCTCCTTCTCACTTTCCCCCCTCGCTCGCCGCCAACTTCTGGCACCACGTTGCCCGCCCGATCTTGAAGAGCCTCCAACCTCGGAGCTCTCCCCAGCAGCCCCCGACTCTGCCTCTCCTCGCAGTCGCTCGGACGTCCATTCCCCGTGCGTTCTTCGAAGCACTCAGGCGTCGGAGCGTCGTCCCGCAGGACCGTGCAAATCTGTATGTGTACATATATGCATACATATCATGCGTAAGCATAACATGTACGATCCCATTCGAACCATGTATGTAGGCAATACAAGTTATACAGTTCTGTATATAATGATACATGCATGTGTGTTTGCATTCGAAGATCCTGAATATCATGTTTACGCTTACATGCATAAGTAGTTCGGTGTGTATGTACATGATATGCCGTATAGACACACCTAAGCGTACACCTATATACATACAACCAGAAACACGTACATATACGTATACACCTACATATACACATATGCATATGCGAGCATTCCGATACGTATGGCTCAAACATACAAAACGTACATATACATATACACCGGTATGTGTATACACACACATGTGGATATGCGTGTACATGTATCTATATATGTATGCGTGTGTGCGCCCGTACACAATCTAGCAATGGGGCGCTCTCGAGACCCCGGGAAATTCAAAACGGCCGTTCGGGACGAGGCCCGCCAGCTCCGGCAGCGGAGTTTTGCGCAGACGTCGCTTTTCAATGGGAACGTGACGCCTTCGCAGAGTCAGGTTTTACAACGCCCGGCGCCGCGGAGCCAGGGGCGAGAGCAGCGGGCCCAGGGGCCCCGGGATGTCCCAGGAGGCTCCAGGACGTCCCAGGAGGCTTGGGAGGCCCCACGAGGTCCCAGGAGGCCCCACGAGGTTTCTCCAGGAGGTTTTCCCAGGAGGTTTCCCCAAGAGGTTTCCCCAGACGGTTTCCCCAGGAGGTTTCCCCAGGAGGCCCAGTAGCCCCCAGGCGGCCCCAGGAGGCCCCTGGAGGCCCCTGGAGGCACCTGGAAGCCCCAGGAGCCTGCAAAATGATGTCCCCGTCCTGGTCGATCGCACGGGAGGGAGGTAAGGAAGGTGGGGCAGAGAGGTCGGGAGGGAGGGAAAACTCCTCCCTCCTCTGGGGCGACGCGATCTATACACATCCGCTGCCCCACGCCCGGCGGCCCATCCTGGACGCTGGATGGGCCAGGCTGGGGGCAGTGCATCTCCTCCTCCTCCTCCTCCTCCTCCTCCTCACCGAGGTGCTTGTTCATGGACAGCACATCGAGCCTGGAGGCCATCGCGGGGAGAGCCGCGGCGCGCACCGGCGCGGGCCCGGCGCCCAAAGGGTGCGCGCCGAGGCGGGCTGCGCCCGGGCGCTTCGTCCCGAAGCGCCCGCTGCTCTCAGAAGGCGTCGGAGGAGAACGAGGAGAGAGAGGCAGAGGAAGAGAGGGAGAGATACCGTCAACCCGTATCATCAGGATGCGCGGCAAGGATGCAAGGGCCTGGGAGGGCCCACGTTGACGTTCTTCGACGAGCGAGGGTGGCCAGCGATAGTCGCTAAGGGCGGGCCGAAGGGGCAAGGATGCAAGGGTACCCTTGGGAAGGTTGCCCATCCTTACTATGCGGGTTGACTGCATCAGGATCCCCCCAGGGCGCCCTTCAGGTCAAGGACCAAAGAGGGAGATAGTGAGAGAGCGAGAGGGCAACGAGGCCGTGGCGGCAAGCTCGAAATTGCGAGAACGGACGAGGGAGAGGGTGGAGCAGGAGGAAGCGGAGGAAGAAGGGTGTGGAGAGGAAGCAAGAAGAGGAGGGAAGGACACGGAAGAAGACGAGGACGAGACAGGATGATGAAAGGAAGGAAAAGGATGAGGAGGAGGAAGACGAGGAGCATATGAGGGGGAGGACGAGGAGGAGCAGTCGGCAATAGGCGAAAAGACAGGGGGGACAAGGAGGAGGAAGAGGAAAGAAAGAGGAGGAAGAGGAGGACAATGACGAGGGGAGCAGTGAGGTTGCATACGTCCACAAGCTGGACGTGAGGCGGCTGGGCATGCTAGATGACGTCGTGGCCCTGCGACAGCGGAGCGTTGCGCGATTGCTCCCTTCGGCACCGGATGTCGGCGTGCACGTGCCGTGCCCAGGCGAGGCGCCAGCGCGCCGAGGAACGCGCCCAGCGGCGGGGCCGAAACCGGCCGCGGTGCAGCAAGCATCGAACCCCCATACCTTGCCGTCGCCCGGACGTCCGTTTCCCGTGCACGTTTCGGTGTCGTGCGTGTTTTTTTTTTGCCCGATGGTCCAGGATGGTCCTCGATGGTCCTCGCCGAGCAAAAATGCACACGTCCGAGCGGTGCCAAGCATACAGTCGGACTTGATTGGAGAGGACACGCGAGAGGACACGAGACCCTTCCGAGGGCCACGGTGCCAAAGAGATGCAGGAGGCACGGGTCGCGAGACACAGGACACAAAGGTACCCTTGATTTGGCAGGGTCGACCTACTAACACGGGCCGACTGTATCCTCATCCTCTCGAGATTTTCTTTCTGATAACGGTGACGTTTGGGCGGGGTGGGGCATGTCGGCGATCGCATGCGCGCCAGCACCAACACGTGGAGAGGGGGATCCAACCCCCTCCAGCGACGCACGACCGTTACCGTTGCCAAGGGGGGTGGGGCTGGCGTGTTAACGACCGCTGCGCGCTAGAGGATAAACAACACTCTCCGGGTATCGACACCTCCCCTTTCCGAATCGGCCCCCCCTTCCTCTCGTGGAGCGAACAATAGCATAAAACATAAAACATAAAACATAAAACTCGGAAGTTTGCGTGGATTCCTCGGATCGGCGCTGGGGCCCCCTGGCGGCGCCTCCAGCGCTATCCATGGTGCGCTCCGCGCGCCAGGGAGGGGGGCCCAACGATGATCACAAGAATCCGTGCGGACCTCAGAGTTTTCATGTATATGCCATTGCTTGTTCCCCGATTCCTGTGTGAACGCTTTGCTTTTTCCCCACCCGACAAGTTGAGGTTGTGAGAAAACAAGACCAGGCCCCCTGGCAAACCCCACCCTGCATACCGCGGCCGCCAAGGCCCAAATTGTCCCGATGATCCTCGAGAATCCCCGGTTTCCCCCCTCGCGCCCGGCCAGCCCACCCTTCATACCGCGGCCGCCAGACCCCAAATTGTCCCGATGATCCCCGAGTCCTGGGTACCCGCCTCGCGCCCGGCCAACCCCACCCTGTATACCGCGGCCGCCTGACCCCAAATTGTCCCGATGATCCCCGAGAGTCCCGGGTGTCCTGACTGGCGGCCTCAACGAACACGACAGAACACAGCATGACAGAACAGAACATGACAGGAAGGAGCAGAACATGAAAGAACATGACGGAGCATAACATATCATATATTATTCCAGTGCGACCCTACCTAGGAGTTGGAGCCTCTAGGAAAGCAACATTAGTAGGAGCGGTAAACGCCGTCCTCCTCCTTCTCCTCATCGTCGTAGTTGTAGCAGTAGCGGTAGTAGTAGTAGTAGTAGTAGTAGTAGTAGTAGTAGTAGTAGTAGTAGTAGCTGCGCAATGCTATGCTGGGCTAGGCTAGGCTAGGCTAGGCTATGCTGCGCTATGCTATGCTGCGCTATGCTGCGCTATGCTATGCTATGCTATGCTATGCTGTGCTTTTGTTTTGCCTTCGCTGTTGTCTTCACTTTTGCCTTTGCTTTTGCTTTTGCTTGGCACCCAGGGAGCGCAACTGGGGAAACCGCGCGTTTGCATATGTTGCTTTTGCTTGGCTCCCAGGGGACCTGGGGAACCGCCCGGGGCGGGTTCCACTGCCCGGCCCCTTGAAGCAAAGAAAGTAAGAACCCTTCTAGGCAGAGCCTAGGCAGGGAATAATGACAACGTGGAGTATAACATAACATCACATGACGCACCAGATAAGAACATGCCATAACATAAGACGACATCACACAGCATAGCATAACATAGCCTAGCATAACATAACACACCTTGACATAACATATCGCATCCTTACACAAGATCACATAACATATCATAACATGACAACAAAGCATAGCGACGACGAACACGACATAACACAATATGGCACAAGACAAAATGACATAACATAGCACGATCGTGGCAGAGCATGGCATTCCACAACATATCAATGCCATGACAACATACAGCACAACATGGCATAGCAAACATAAACCAGAGCATAACATGCCATAACAGACGACGGCACATCACAACATAACACAACATAGCCGATCATAATATAACACACCTTGACATAACATACCATATCATGACAAAACATCACATAGCACATCATAACACGACAGCATATCATAACGACACATTCTAGCAAGGCAGATCCTAAATTCTATACAGAGCCGAGCCGTCAGCAAACAAAACATCACATAACATACCAGAGCAAAACATGGCATAACAAACAACCATAACACAACATAACAAAACACACTCGAGCATCACGTAACACACCTTAGCAAATCATATCATGACATGACACAACGCCACAGAAGATCTCATAACACGACAACAGAGCAAAGCGACACAGACTAATCGATCATCTCCTAATATACTATACAGAAGGGTGCCGTTAACAAACATAATATCCCAAAGTATACCAGAGCAGAACACGAAAGAACAGAAAACGAAATAACACAACATAGCATACCATAGCCGAGCATAACATAACACGCCATGCCATAACATGCCATATCATGGCAGCAGCACAGAACATACCATAACACGACAACGAAGCATATGTAGCGAAATATACTTGCATTGATCAAGATATATTATATTGAGCCTAACTGTCAACAGCATCACGGAACATAGCATACTGTTACACAACTTGGCATGGCATAGCATGTCATAACAGACTGCAATTTCATTTCACGCAATAACATGCCAAACCATATGGTGGCAGAGAAGAACATACCATACCATAATCAATCATAAGAGAAAAGTATGAGTGAAGAGAAACATATAAAAAACACATACGACGCATCTAACTAACGTCACAGGCGTCACGACGCCACGCCGGCCCGTCGAGAACATAACAGGACATAACAGAACATAGCATGAAATAGCGTGACTCCATGGAGCACAATTGAAACGTTTTTGAATCCAGAAACGGCACTTGTCGACCAATTAGGTGACCGCGTGCCGTCAGGAACAAACGCGTAAGGTTTCGGTGGGGATCGCTCGAAGCAAAATGATTGCAACCAATTGCTAATGCAATGCTGTTTTGCCCACCTGCCAAGAACTTTCTTTTCTCGGACTCCTCCTCCACGGGATCCCTGGGTGCAAACTCCGACCGTGGCCTACCAATTCACAGACGGGGCGTTTCAAACAGAATCCCACCAGCCCTTTAGGGCGTAGGTGGTCTAACGCGTTTCTCTTCCAACCCCCTTCTTCCCCTTCGGGGAGGGGTTTACCCCTCCCCCTACCCCCTCCCCACTGACCTGGACAGGGGGGGCCGCGAGCGGTCAGAGGGTCCAAAATCGACTCCTGGGAAGGCTGAAATTCGACACCCCTCACGAGGATCGTGGCTCCTGAGGGGGAGGCTGTAATTTAGGAACCCCCCTTCGTTGATCGATCTCTTCCAAGATGGCTCCAAGAGACGTCTTAGACCCTCCTCTTGGGCCCTGCGCGCGGCTGGGCGGAGCGCCGCCCGCCCGCCCGGAAGGCCCAAGAGCCCACCAAAACGCCTCAAGATTCCTCCAAGACGCCGACAGGAGGAAGAGGAGGAGGAGGAGGAGAAGGGGAAGGAGGAGGAGGAGGAGGAGGAGGAGGAGGAGGAGGAGGGGGAGGAGAACAACTGCCGATGATCGGCGCTCTTCGTTCGGGTACCTGGTGTAGGATGGGCTGGTGGGGATACGCGAAGCGTCAACAATTGTCTAACAAACACCGGCCGCGCCAAACAGAATTGTGTAAGAGGTTGGTTGACGCACGCGATGGCGACTTGAAACCCTGGCCCATGCCAAAGTAGAGAAGCACCGGCCACTCGGAGGGGAAAGAGGGGGGAAGAGAAGGCGCAGCAGAAGGGGGGGCGATTTGTTAACGCCGCTGGTGATGCGTGCGAACGCGGAGCGATACGAATTTACCCCAATATCGTATCCGCAAAATGCCCTAGCACTCGGAAATCCCCCCGAGCGCAGCTCCGAACAGAGCGAATCTAGAAAACCATCACGATGGCGGATGGTCGAAACGCGGCAGCGACGGCAGCGGCAAGAAGAGGAGAGAGGAAGGCAAGTGACGCGACGAACAAGTATCACTCCGACGGACACGGTGTCCAGAAGTGGAGCTGAGCTGCAACATTCGGGGGAGAGCGAGAACAAGACGAGCAGAGGCGGAGAGCCGGCCCGCCCCAGCAGGGCGAG